TCTACGAAACACGGCCTCGCCATGAAGATCGAACCATGAAGGGATTCACGAAGCATGCGCAGTTCGTGACCAGACCAAAAGCAGCTGTTGGTCAAATGTTCGGGGCGATGGTGGGGGGCAATGAGAAAAGAGAACGAACAACTTGTTTGAACAACATGACGTCATGGAATCGGTGTTTTTTCACAGTGGAAGAAAGTGCAGATTTCAGATTTCTTCATTTGAGATAGTTTCTGGGAGTGTACTGGCCACACCCTCCTGGAAGAGGCCTTTGTCGATCAAAAGTGATACCAGGTGAAGCATGCTATATATTTGTACATGGTACTTTATTTGAGTATTATATCATTTATATCTCTATGTTAATATACATATATAGATATATGTATGCACACGTTACATTTTATGCTAGTACTATGGTGTACGCGGAGGTGCATGTTGCATGCTCTGAAAGCCAACAATGTTTGACCCAAAAGATCCACTTGTCCCATCAGTTCGATGCTTTCCCTGGTTCCACCAGTGTTCTCCAAGCGCGGGAGCTGCCAGGGCGAGTGGGAAGGGCTTTGGGATGAGCAACTCTGGTACGCACAGCTCCAAAGCACTCAGGAGATGGGACCAAGAGCGTGCGTCTTTTCGGCGGGTCAGTCTTTTTCCCCGGTGATTGGCCCAGTGAGTTTACCAGATTGGCCCAATGAAGAAAGCAACATGCATACAAATCAATACAATCCCCACAATGTGTGATTTCCTGATGCCTGGTGTATGGCGTCACAAGATCTTGGGCATCCAATTGCCCGTTGGAAGGTCACAGGATCGGGAATGCCTGCTGTGCCACCTGGTCAGCACCATGATGACAGCATTGCATGCCGCGAAAATGGAAATCAAATTGCGGAACTGCTAGAGCTGCATGACAGTGGCAGACCAACCCGGCACACCAGAAACTCCAAATAGAGCCAGTCTCGGAGCCAGCCCTTAGAAGGGATGTATCGGACGATGGACCGTGATGCATCCGACCTTGGTCAACTAGGTTGTCCCACATATCCATCATGCGTTAGTTTTTGCTCACGCCCCCCCCTAACGGCCCCGGAGAATTTCCACATGTTCACCATTACCCAAGGTGATACTACGTTGGGGATGGGGTGGGGATGCACTTGCAAACCAAGTTGATTTTACGTTGGGGATGGGGTGGGGATGGGTTGGGGTCTGTTAACATTCGCTTGCACTTGCAAACAAAGTTGATGCTACGTTGGGGATGGGATGGGGATGGGGTGGGGTCTGTTAACATTCGCTTGCACTTGCCAACCAAGTTGATGCTACGTTGGGGATGGGATGGGGATGGGGTGGGGTCTGTTAACATTCGCTTGCACTTGCAAACCAAGTTGATGCTACGTTGGGGATGGGGTGGGTCTGTTAACATTCGCTTGCACTTGCAAACCAAGTTGCCGCTACGTTGAAAATGAGGTGGGGTCTGTTAACATTCGCTTGCACTTGCAAACCAAGTTGATGCTACGTTTACGCGCAAAGCGCGTGGTCGGAAAACGCATGGCGCCAAACGTATTGACCGCAAATGGTCATCCCTGAAGACATTTATCCCGAAAGAGTTGGCATCCAAACGATCCAATGGCGGATTGAATGCACAGATCCAAGAATATATGTATAGCTTTGTGTGGCGCTGTAATACACCGTCTAAACACCAACTGCAGAAGTTGGGTCAGATGGCACAGAAGGAGTGGACCGCGTGAAAAGGAGTGGCACGCCTCAGGGAGTGGATGTGTGTTAAGTTTTCATGAAAAACAGAGAAACGATTAAAGATCCGTTTTTTGTTTTGCTTCCGGGTCCCCGAACGCACTGTCATTTCACAATGGAATTACGATTTGAAAGGCGTTTTGTGGTGTAAAAACACATTGAAAATGACATTGACCTAAAAAAAGGCATCGCCATAAAGTGCCACAGGGCTTATGAAAAACGACCCGAAGATGCCTCTGAGAACGCGCAAATCGCGCGGGGCCGTTGCAGCGGGCGTGACCTCCTTTTTGTGTGGATTTGTAGTGGCTGGCTGGTTGATGTTTGCTTCATAAACTGTAAAACAAGGACTGACGGGTTTAAGCTGGGGAGGAAAAGAAAAGCACACGTGTGGCTTCTCCGTGTTGAAGAAACCACATGACTTGGTTTTTGGGCGACCGTTGGTCTCATGGTCTCAGGTGGGAGGATGGACTTGGGAAGTCCGGGAGCTTCGAAGCACAACGGGAGGACCTCCGCTCTTTGCTGGAGCAGTTGGATTCCAAGGTGCCGCTGGCGCCGGGAGGACGTGGCACTCCACCTTGGCCCAAAAGCGTTTGGAGAGGTGGTTGGAAGAGGTTACAGGTTTGCTCCAACGACCAGCGCAAGTGTTTTTGTTTGTTGTGTTGTACGGGCACGAATTGTCCTGGTAGCCTGGTAGCTAGCTGTGTAATTCAAGATTAAACGAGAGTGTGGCTGAAATATATCTTGCCATATCCCTGCTACATGATCTACATGTCGCTACATGTTTCCCCACCCAACAACATTGGGTTAGCGATCTATGCCATGCTACTATAGATTTTGTAATTTATGGTTCGGAATGTGTATATGTTAAATACAAACTTCCCGTGAAGGGTGCAGAGGTGCTCTTTGACAACGAGTTGGCGTCGACCAACTCAGAAGCAGAAACCCAGTGTCCTGGCAGCCAGCTTCCTTAACACCAAAGCATAACACCAAAGCTGGGGGAGGTCCAAAATGATCAGGTCTACTGTTTTCCTGCGTTTTCACCTGTTGTGATGTTTGGACTGTTGTCACCCTTCGACTCGGAGCGGAGAAGGGGCTTGCTCCGATGGCAATGCCTCCGGCTCGGTGGTTTTTTTGCGCGAAAAGACCGCTCGATCAGGGTCAATCGAGTCGAGCCCAAAGGCACGATGGCTGATCTGTCGAGGTCATATTCCGCGACTCCTCGACTCAATTAGAAGATTCCCAGAGGGTCCACGACCATCCCAAGGTCATGTCGTTTCACCCCAAAGACCAGTCAAAAAGGAAGTACTCTGGGTACCCTCCATCGGCCCATCCAAAATGGTACTTGGACGTTACTCATAAACCAGAGGAAACCTTCAGGGCTCCGGTCACAGCTTGCGTTTCCATACCCCGACCCCATGGCGTTTCCGGGATAGGCGACTCTCCTTCGGCCCTGGCTACGGGGCGGCGCAGTGGCGGTGCCTGCCCAAGCGCAGCTGCTTTACCCAAAGTTGGAGATGCTCAAAGAGGCCAGCTGCGCCAGCCAGACACCAGGCAGCTGAAGAGATCATGTGAACCAGGGTCCTTTGGCCATGGCCCTTAGCCAAAGATGGGGGAATTATAGAGGAGCAGAGTCATGGAATCACGCCGAGTCTTGTTTCCGGATTTGGTTGGCCAGCACTCGTGCTGTTATTTATATATATATATGCATATACGGACATTTGTACAACCTCACTCGGGCCATGGGTAAGGGTTTGTTTCCCACAAAAGAAGTGCTGACCACAGCACATTTGTCTTGGTGGCCATTCACGAGGCCAAGCAATCTTCCCTCAAAGCTGCTTCGCACATACTTTATTTATAACTTGACTGAAGATGACTGAAGCGCTTTTTGAACAAATCAGTTTTTTCGGGTCTAATGGTCACCATTTTAAGTGTTTGAGTGCAGAAACTAGAAATTGTTTGTCAAAGTCAGCAGGAAAAGTATCGCGACTAGTATGTCATGTAGATTGGACACCAAATGAAGGCCGTACCTGTTTTCAAGTTTGCTCTCATGATGCTATGGGATGTTTGTTTTCTTTTTCCTCCTCCTAAAGTTCCAAGCCTATGGCAATTGTGGACATATAGGAATCTTAGGAAGACTCTAAACTGACTTTCTCACACAAACCCTCGCACCAGCGGTCGTTTGGTGGCCTTCGTCTTCGTCCACACAGGCGGTGCTTCTGGAGCCTTTGAGCGCCTCATTGGCGCTGGAAGCACTCAGGTCGGTCCGCCGGTTCGGGGCAGCGGCTTCGGTCGACACGGGAACGGTCCGTTGAAGTCCATTTCGGACTGAGTTTGACCGCATCCTCTTCAGGTTCCTTGTAAAAAGGACCAACTACCAGGTACTGACTCTGTCTGATAGGCTCCGAAATCCGAGCTTTTCTCAGAAAAGGCTTTTGGACCCAAGCAAGTTGGGTTTGCGAACACCCTCGCAGATGGCGAGATGCCTTACTATAAATTGCTGGGGAGATGCGAGAAAACCTAGGTCACCGGCTATGTCGCTATAGACCGTGACGTGCCCCAAGGTGTCTTTTTCCAGAAGGGATGCCACTTGGTGGTACCGGGGGTGTCTACTATGAACCACCTCAAGCGGGGTGTCTATCAACCACTGTTGGTTGCTTTGGCGTTCTTTGCTCCACAATGCCGAAACACGGTGTCCGGATGTGGGTGACCAAAGGCCTTTTGGACCCCCTAAGGAGGCCCTCAGGAAATCGATCCAAATCAAAACCGGTTGGACCACCTGGAAGAAGGAATTCGATCAAAGCCCATGGGCCCAGATCAGCTAGGTTCCCGTTAAAAAATGCAGCGGCATTGTCGACTCCCCAAGCCTTCCCTCCCCACCTTCGTTCATCTGACATGTCATCCCGACCGAGACGACATCGGTATCGGTGTCTCGCTGAACGCTGCGGTCGCAGCGTTGACACAGCCCAAAGGGCAGAGTGAAAAGAATGGACGATGCAAAAGAATGGAGGACGAAGACCAGGACCCCAGCAGAAACATGCTTCGACTCGGACATACCTTTTTTTTCACAGCACGGTGTAAATTGTGCAAAAGTGCCACCGCTCCTTTGATGAAGCTTCACCGCGAAGATTCCTCCACTGTCACCGGTGAGACAGCATTGGTCAACAGGTCTGAAATCTCATGGAACTAGAGTAAGTATAAAATGAGTCCACTTTGCTCCCCCCTTTTATACACTGAATAGCCACCACCCAGCAGCCAAGCGCCTTCTCATCCATCCACCCCCCTGTCTTTGGCCTTGCTGACGCCGCGCCGTCCATGCGGCCGAGCGTCACGCCATGGCCTGGGCGGAGAGGGTCCGATGGCTCGATCAACGGTGCCTTGGACATCAACCAGCTTGAGGGAAACATCGCACTGGTCATGGTTTGGTGTTTCTTCCTTAAAGGTTTGGTAATGGTACATGCACCACCGCAAGACTTGAGACTTGTGACTTGTGGATGCTTGCGGTAGAACTGGTCATGTTCTTCGAGTCAAAGGCAAAGGTGCTTTTGACCTACGTGCTTTCTGCGGTTTTGGTCCTCAATCCAGCCCTATCATTCAGCAAGGTGGCCTCGTATGTACTGTTCTCGTCAAGGAGGTGGTTGCATCAGTTTCGGAGTGGGGCCGCGCTGGATTGTTCACAGATGTTCAAACATGCACATTTGGCGCTCCTGGTGCACTTGGCCCTCTACTCCAGCCAAGCAGGTTTCTGAAGGTCAATCTATATATACTTGTGCCACCGTGAGGATTGCCTCACTAAATGTACCTGTACTTTTTTGAAGGCTTACCCCTACAAGGTAGACAAACCTGAATGAGAACCCTCAAGAGTTTGCGGAGAGACTGATCAGAGAGGGCGAGAATTCTTGTACATTCCAATTAGGATGGGTGTTCTTGTTTTCAAGCTATCGGTGCTATCGATGAAGGTGTCAAGGTGTCAGTATGTATCATTGCTATTTCAGTGCTATTTCAGGCAACTTGAGAAGAGTTGTCGGTGATTTAGACAACAGGGAAATGTGTAGACATTGGACAAACTAATATAGTATAATACACATGTTGATACATTTTGTATATATATACATAGAATATATAGTCTTATGTTAGTTTTATGTTATATATACACATAATATGTGGTCGGGTCTCAGAGAGAGGGTAAAAGAAGTCTCCATCACCATTTTCGGACCCTTTGGTGAATTGTTTTGTTGTGTCTTACTTGCAGTTTGCAAGCATTGTTGGATCTATTTTTGTTTGACCCCCTTAATATTGTACATGTTCAAGGTGGCAAACAAATAGAGTGATTATGTAACGTATATTAAACTATACAATGTGCATGATCGAGACAAAACTTAGATATGAACGCAGCATGAAGTGAATTAATAAAACGAAGACATAATCACTTGTTTTGGACCCTCTTACAAAATGTTTAGTGATGTCTTGCTTGCAAGTTGCAAGCATTGTGCATCTTTCAGGGGATCCAACTTATATCCTACAATGCCTGCAAAGGCATAGAGTTTGGACCCAATGTTGCGGGGGTCGAAAAAAATAGTGAATAAATGAACTTGACAATGTGCATGATCGACGCACGTCTTAGAGATGAACGCAGCATGAAGTGAAGTGGATGAGCAAGATATACTGTAAGAAGTCTCTATAAAATCACTCTGTTTATTCAGGTCTTCCTTACAAGCCTTACAATTTGCAAGCATTGTTTGATAATTTTTCTACCCTCTTGACATTGTACATGTTTCAGGGTGTCCAAGTTACACTAACTTGCAGGCACTGCGTACAAACAACTATACAGCCAGCTGAGGCATATGTCGCCGTAATACACTGTACACTGTACAACTGCAATCAGCTGAGGCATATGATGCAACTATGAAAGATGTATTAAGACATGAACTGTTGAGAGGAGTCCTTTGTTTGCCTTTCATGGGCCTGGTGATGCAACTGATGCGATAATGAGAAGCAAAAATACATAGATGGTAGGGGAAAACCATAGGGGTTTGGGATGTTATCTCCCAGTCCCAGTCCTCTCCCAGACACCTTGTGATGCAGGATATTCATTATTGCTCCCAAACGAAATGCGCCCCAGCAAAAGCTATGTAGCGATAATATATTACATGTCCGTTGTTGTTCTATGTTTGCTGTTTTGTTTGCACCCCCTTTCCTTGATCAATGTTTATTCATCCTTTCTATTTCCTGGATTGGTCCTTTCACTTTCCTTTTGTTCCGACTCCACATACTTCGTGTAGCATTTCCAGTGTGCTAAATGATTTCCCACCATGTATGTAACTCACTGGTTTGGGGTGGGTGCGTTGAACACCCTTTAAAGGCCATGTCCGTTTCTCCGGTGAAGGGTCGGTGATCACGGGCCGCCACGTGTGGTGACGGCACCGTGGTGTGCAGTGGTGCCGTGGCATACGTGCCTAGGTTTGAACTGGAGGCAGGAGTCACTGAAGGAGTTCAGACACATCCGGAACTCCTTGGTGTTTTTGAGATCCTGAAGCATAGTATTGTGGACAGTTGATTCAACTTTAGCCATCCCAGATGGAGAGGTTTTACAATCCAAATAAGGGGGGTTATTGATTCTACTGTCTACATTATGTTCAATCACCAGGATGGAAGTCCCCTTGGTTACATCTGGTTACACAGATGGAATCATCATGGAAGTGGAAAACCACCACTGTTTGGTCTTGGGATAGCAGGACCAGGCCATCCACGTCCAGTGGAGTGCTTCGTGGTGAACAACGGCGCTCGTCCTCGTCGTCCCACCGGTGAGTCGTCCGCACGTCCTTGAGTCGAAGAAGCAAGGTATTCTTCGGATTTCTTCGTTGATTCGTTGGTGACCGTCTTTGACCGGTTCCAAGAAGAACCAGGTGGATCTAAGCAGAACCATCAGAATCTCTCTGGCTGAACCATCCCGATTCAGAGGTTTCTCTTCCAGAAGTGTTGGGGGGGGTGAGTCAAGCGAAGAAGGACCTGAGGTGTAAGTCAACCCAGCAGATCCACCGCGTAGTACGGAGGTGTCCTTTTTCCACGTCGGAGGATTTGTGGAGATTCCAAGGGTTAAGATGGTTAAAGGAAGTTCACTCGGTTGGTTCGGATGATTCGATCCACCATGGAAGCGGGTGTGGATGGTTCAAATTAGTTCAGAGACCCTTTGGGAACCACAAGTGCAGTGCAAGCTTCATGTATCGATATCCAGGTATCAGTGTTGAGAAATGCCTGGAGGAATCCTTCTTCCTGGTGCTTCATAGGGAATAAGATGGAATAAGGGTGGCTGGGTCTGTTGTTGTTTTGTTTTTTTGTGTGGCCTTCCAAGGGTCTTTCTCTCAACCTTTTGCAGTAGGCTGTAGGCTTTACTAGTCCATGTAGGATTGACATGGATTAACAAGGGTCCCTCAAGACCCAGGGTTTTGGATCTGATGACCGGTGCACCCGCACACTGGAAAGAGGTGAGAAGAAGACCTGAGGGATTCGGGAAATTTGGGTTCAAAGTTGGAAATAGCTAGTACCAGGTGGTAGATGGTTTTGGTATAGAGGGGAGACGTTTAGTATTCCGGAGAGCCAGCCAGGGCGCCCGGAGCAGGAGCTGTTTCTTGCACTTTGTCCGTCCTCGCTGCGCGACTTCGCCAGTTGCCCGCGCCGGAAACGCGACGCGCCGGAAACCGCAGCGGTGCCGGTGAAACGCGCGCGGAGCGTCCAAGCGCCGCAGGCAGATGAAACAGCTTTCAAGCTGCACTTGGTGCGCCTCCGACACTCGGAGAACTGGGAGGGGGGGGGCGGGCCGGGCCGGTTGGGTCGCAGAGGTTCTGAAGATTTCCGAAGCCGAAGTCCACCTATAGATAGCAACAAAGGGCATCGCAACTAGGAGCAAGGACGCTACTAGTAGCTCCTGGCATTACTACTAGGAACAAGAAGCTACTAGTAGCAAAGGGCATCGCTACTAGTAGAGTGATTCTTGACCACCTTGTTTTGGCTTAGATTTTGGAGCTGGAATGTGTGAAGAATGAACACAGAATCCTAATCAATTCAACCTATTTAAAAAAACAAACAAACAAAGAAAACACGCACTGGCCCATATTTAGAAAAGGCTCAACATTGCTAAACCTGTTCTAAATGAGGGGTCCCCAAAATGGGGGACCCGCAAAGATGGACACCTGGGAAGAGCTTCAAAACCGAAAAGTCGCCTAGGAACATGTTGTATTTTTTGTGTAATCCTTATTTAAACCTGAATCAACCATTGATAAACCTCCAGATCGAAGAGTCTTCCTTCTCTTTGTACCAAAACCCTTTATTAACATAGTAATTGTTCATTAGTTCGATATTCTTCGCTTGTAAACTGTTCAGCAGACTAAGAAATATGTCGAAAGGTGATGTCGCTGTGCCATGTGTTTTTGCGCGGCCTCGGTGGAAAGTGCATTGGCATGGCTGTGTGCCATTGGGGAAGGGTGCGGATGCGTGTGCAAATGCAATGCGGATGCGTGTGCACTCAGAGACTGATTCTTGCAAATCTTCCCCAGCCCTCGATCGCACCCCGCTTGGTCTTCTCCTTCCGGCGTGTCGGTGTGTACAGGTGGACGAGTAGAAGACATTGGCACAGGTGGACGTGGTTCTGCCGCATTTGTGATCAAAAGCCCTCCTCCAACCGGGCGGATTTCATCGGGATGACAACTATCCAGCATAAGATAGCGTAAGTGCATAAGTCTGCATAAGGGATTCTTTGTTACCAGGCTTTGGCCGGAACTCAGATGTCCAAAAACACTCTCTGAAAATCCGTTAGGAAGATGTGTCACGCTCCTGGGCTGTTTCTCTTTCTGCGGATCCTTCGCGATCTCTCAGGCGCGCCCGGGCGTCGTGTCGGATGTCGTGTGTCGGGTGAAGCGGAGATGTTCTGAAGATTTGTCGGTGATCTCGATCACTTTTAGCTTTGGATTGGCCTAGCCATATTGTAGTCTGTTGAATGATGAACACTCCGCGTAGTCAAAAGTTGTGAAAGGATGTGAAAGGGATGATAGGGTTGGGAGAGACATGATATGTTTAACCTAGCAAGGACCTAAGGAATGGATGGTTTTATGATTATACGATATACGCGTCTGAGTCTCCCAGACTAAGTAAAGAGCCTGCGTTCGAGCAGTAGGTTCTTGCAGTAGCTGATATACAGGAAATGTCTGAACACTTGAACACTGTGGGTTTGCAATAGGAGCATCTTCGCAGATCTGTTCGCAGATCCTCAAAAAGAACGACACACAACCGTATCAGGCGCCAATGACTCAATGCTTGTATCAGTCCGTATCAGACGCCAAAGGGCTCCTCTTCATGGTCCACCGACGCCGGTGAGGCTCTATGGGCGATGCCGGTGATGGACGAGCGACAACTGACCCTGGGTGGGGCCGCACATGGGGCGTGGGGCAGTCGTGGGCGGGTGGGGAGTTTCGTGGTTCAATCAACAGGGAGCCGGGCAGCCGGTGAGTCAATCAGTTTCGCAAAGACTTGGTTTGCCGTCTTCTTTTTTGGACTCAGAGTCTTCCACCGAAGTCCCTGAGGGTCACCGAATCCTTTCGGTGTCTCGGCGACAGGGGAGACCATCCACTGCTTCAGCGTCTTCATCTCCACCATCCTGAGCTTCATCTTGGCCATTGCCTCGGCCAGTTGCCCCAGGACAGGAGGGCGCTCAACTCCAGACCGCTCCGAAACGGGCGGTCTTGAGAGGTCGATGAAACGAAAGGCCGCACCGAAACAGCCAGGAGTTCTCCATCTCAGTCCACCTCCACCTCAGAGCTGTCATGAAGTTTCAATGCCCACTCCCACCATTATATGTGCCAATCTCACGCGAAAACGTCATGTCTCCTATGTTGGAGAGTTCTCGCGGCCTTGCACTGTCCCAATAAGCAAGTTCAACACCGCATGAGAACTTGTTCATTGACACCCAAGGAGGGTTCTTTTGCTTACAGGCTTCTGTGTGCAAGAGGGTATTGATTCCATGATGTGGTTTGTGGACATCAAGCTATGGCAAAGAAGTGTTGTAGCCCAACATGTGTCGATCAAGTATTACTCGTTTGGGAATGGAGAATTCCAGCCGTTTTTTGAGGGAGCTTTAGACAACACATGCGCTGCATACCCATGTTTATGAAAAGTTGGGTGAACAAACCACGTGTTCAAACCTTTGTCTTGGAGGCCCCTCCACCAAGAAATATTGCAGCATGCCAACCATGGACACACCCCTCCTGAATGGGTGCGTATTGTTTTGTTTGGGGGCTTATGTCATGTTAGTAGTATATTATATCATTTATATTATGACTTACTTGCGGAGACCTTTACTTCTCTTGTCACTTCTCAGCTTGATCTTTTCTCTTGGACGTCCGTGTTCCCTCCGTGACGTGTCTTTTCTTTTGTGTGTTTTCGTCAGGAGCAGCTGGTCATGGGAACCTTTCTGGGCCTTCCTCTTCTTGACCTTGTCTACCTTGCTGGCCACCAGGCACAGACCGTCCCTCTTGGGACGGTCACAGATCATAATAGAACTCGTGGCAGACTGTAAACCGGCGAGATGAATCCTGGAACAGCTGGGAGACCAGGAGTGCTAAGGATGTCGAGACACTCCACATTGGTGTTGGTGGCACAGTGTTGGTCCCCAAGTGAAACGTGAAGAGGCACCCTATACCTCCAACAGCTAGCAGTTCAACCTTGCCAAAATATGACTTGAATTGTACGAGTGAACCAACAGGATGACCCCTCAGCAACTTTAGATTGGACTTTGTATAATGTATACACTATAGAAGATTTTAATGTCGCTGCAGCTCAAACGGTTGGGCTCTTGAGGGAAACCACTGGAAAACACTGAACCTGGACTGGTCCTTTTCAATGAAGGCGTCGGTGGTATTCAGACGCACGGAAAGTGTAGACCATCCCAAAAGCCACCCAAAACTGGAGGAGCACACCACTTTGAGCCCAGTAGAGGACTATAGGACCATGAAAAAGACCGTACGTGATCGCTTGATGGCATACGACCTCGGGGCTCGTTGCTCGTCCGTGCAGGTGGCATATGATCCCTGTGGCTCGGTCATAAGAGGGCGGAAGCAGGAACTGGTTGGTCTAAGATCGATCTGTTTCGTTGGGATCTCATTTCGAGCCAGCGGAGCAGGGCAGTTTTTCGGAAGAAGCGGTGGAACACTAAGCCTCCAATTCAGTTGATATTAGAGATAATTGTGAAGGGTGGGCGGGAACTTGCAAGTTGGCGACCAAATCCATGAAGCGGAAGGGCATCGCTACTAGTAACAAGAAGCTACTAGTTGGAGGCCATCGATACTAGTAACAAGAAGCTACTAGGTGGAGGCCATCGCTATTAGGTTGGAGGCCATCGCTACTAGCAACAAATGCATCGCTACTAGTAACAAATGCATTGCTACTAGTAACAAGTGCATCGCTACTAGTATACAAGTAACAAGGGCATCGCTAATCGCTACTAGCAACAAGGACGTCGCTACTAGCAACAAGGGCATCGCCACTGATAACAAATTCCGAATGTATTGGCCCTGTTGTTTTCCTGTGGAAGAACTCCTGCACCACCTGCGGGTCTTTGCGGTGAGATGGGAGTCATACGTGGTGCAGCATGTCTTTCATCATTTGTACGGGGGGTTTGGCAGTCAAGAGTGAAAGGTAGCAAGTGTTGATGCTTGTTGGCCTATAATTGATCGTAGTCGTGCTCAAAATATCTATGAAGTATCAACACAGCTGCCGCAGCGCAGACGCACTAGACACCTCTGAAGTGTTTGCTGTGATCTGAGTCCTATGATGTCCTATGAATGTTGTAGCGCTTATGATAGAAGTTCATGCCCCTGGGCATCGGCCTGTGTCTTTATGCAGCTCGGGTAATACAATTAGGCCAGTCTTCCGAATCGTCTCCCCGACATTCAGCTTCAGTGCTGCAAAAACTCTGCCCAGAGTGATACACACTCTGATAACGTGACCGATAAGAGTCATACAGATTCTCACAAAGATTGTCCTTGGATCCTTTGTACCCTTGTACCCTCAGACGTCCTCAGACGTGCAGGTCGCAGGTACAAGTAGTGTAGAGGAACAATGGTCTTTCAGGGTCCAAACTCTTCCACTGTTTCAAGGAACGTAAACTTCTCCAACAAAGCTTCATTCGTGGTTCCACCGGTTCATTGGTCCAGTCTACCAGGTGGACCACCGGGTCCTTCCACGAAAGAAACACAGACAGCATGGGTGTTCCAAGGCCGCAGGTCCTTCCACAGCGATGCTGATCGTCTTCGTGGTACCTTGGATTCACAGAAAGCATGGGAAGAAAAACATGGGACAGCATGAAGAGAGATGTTGTTTTTTACACTCAGCATGAATCCAACTTCAAAACGGAGACTGTCCGTGGGATGGAATCAAAGGAATGATGTTATAGAATGTTGTAGTTTTGTTTGCCTGGGGGGAACTGCAAGCGCCTGCAGCCTGCATGTGATTCACTGATGACATTGAGGAGTCTTTTGAACCATCATGTGTGGGTCAATCCCATAATATCCTATATTAAATTATATATATAGGATTTATGGATGGCGGCTTGGAATTAGAGGTGAAGACTGCACACACTCATTTGAGTTGACTACCTTACCTTGATCGGTCCCTAGGTGAGAAAGCCCACGTAAGCCCACGTGTGAAACATGAGCCCAAGTCTGTGAAGCAAGCAAACACATGCAAACACCAGATTCTGTACCATGGCTGTATCCGTTGTATCTATACTTCCGGTGTGTCTGGGTCTTCTGACCTCAACACGGTGTTCTGCTGAGGTCAGAATCCTGTGACCCCGATCAAACAGTTATGTTTACCTAAGGAAGACACTTCAAAAGCACTCCTTCCACGGAATCAATATAGTGAGGGAGACGAACATTACCAGGGTACTAGCCCGCTTGTATGGAAGATGTTTTCCTTCGCGTGTCGGGGCTTTGCTTTTTCTTTGAGGTTCTTTATCATTTCGCATCATTTAGCATTCTTGACAGTATTGAATTCACCAATGCTTACCAGAGATCCTTCTTCCAGATTGATCTCTACCTACCTATATAATTATGCTAGGAATTTGTGGTCCTTTGATGTCCTTTGTATTTTCTCCAAGTGTTTGCGAACCTCATGCCTGTTCTGGGGATGAGAGGGCATGGAGACTTCAGAACAAAAGGAGGGCGAGCCTATGGCAACTGCACTGAATCAACCACCAAGTGGAGTTAACCACTGATCAAAATTGGATGAACGTAGAATATATTCCAAGAATCAGCACGGAATTTGAATCCACAGACCATATTCTCCATCCTGAACATAGGTCTTTGGATGAACATAGGTCTTCGGCCCTCGGGTCCTTCGATCGCTCCGTTGCTTGATCACTCCGCTCTCGGGTTCGGGCTGCAGCGCCTGGGTTCGGCCAACGGCTGGATCCGGCTCTGTTGGAGCAACAGCGACGCTGCTGACCGGCTTCAGATGCGAGATTGAGTGGAGGGCATGTATTCCTTCTTTGAGAGGTGCACCCCAACTCTTCACAGTGGCAAGGAGTTCCTATATTATAGGAATTGCATGACAAGCCAATGGTCTTCGTCCCTCATGTTCACAAAAATCTATGGTGCCAGACTTCATCCTTTAGGTTGCAGGTCCGGTTGAGGAATTTCAATCCAGCTGGCAACCAGCTGGCGAACTCGGATCGGCCAACCCATTGCCATGTTGCCTTATTTGTTCCTGGGTGGCTCAGACAGTTTGATGGGAATACATATCGCATGTGAGCTATATAGAAAATGTTGGAACCTCGTGTGTTGGAGTGATAGGTGATACAGCAACACTCTCTAGTACCCTCCCTGATCCAAATTTGGGCAGCCTCCAACAATGAGGTGGTGGTGCTTCTAGCTGCGCTGCCTCTACGCTGCTTGGCGCACGTTTCTCCGCGGATGGGGCACATTCAGGTCATCCCGCAAATGAACAGAAGACTGTTAGAGTATGCTACAGTACTGTTTCCGGCCAACTGGGTGATGCCATCGGGGCTCCTGGCTTTCTGAGGCCTGTGGCTCTCAACGAGTGTCGCGGTTTTGACCTTCGTGGCCAGCTTCATCAGCAGTTGGCTTCACGCAGAAGGCGCACGGTGTTGGGGTTTTGTGGCACCACGGCTCTTTGTTTCGAAAGCCAAGCTGAGCCGCGGGTCCAAGGTCGATCACCGCTGAAAAAAGAATTGCAAATTGGATTTGACCCTAAGCCGTGTATGCGAAGTGCGGGCACGAGTTGTGGGCGGACATGGGCACTGACTGTCCGATTTTCCAGGCTCCTATGACGTGGGTGCAGGGATGTTTTTCTGCCTCTTCCTGTTGCCCATCTTTTATGTCTACGAGAGCGATCAGCTCCTGGCACTGGGATTGGGGACGTGGGGGGCATTTGGGGCGGAAAAGGATTGGGGGGGAGGTGAAGAGGGTCCTTCTTTGGGGGGGCATTTGGGTGAATGTAGATGGCTGATGAACTACAGTATTTTTTGTGATGAGTATATTGTTCAGCACACGGAATTGAACAACTGTTATTAGTCAACGGTGTTTTGTTGTTTATTTAAATTCAATGATGCTTGGGTGGATTCGTTGGTTGATTTTCAGTGGCGAGTGTGGTACATGTTTGGCCGGATGGTTGGTGGTTGCCAGGATAGTGCAGGTCCTGTGAATTGACTCCGGCTGCATGCAGACAGCAGCGGGCTCACTATAGTTCACTGCCATGTCGTGAGCTTTAATCGCCGAGTTTGATCTCTTGTGTTCTCGGAGAGAACTTCTAAAACTTGCTGGTTCACAAGCTGCCGAGCTGGAGACACATGCCCTGTAACATTTCTTGCCCTGAGGCTTTCGGGGCCCGCACAGGAAAGCTCCCACCGTCATTGACCCCTCACAGTTGCTTGGACGTCCACACATACCCTGAGAGCTTTGTCCAGTCTCACACAGATTCCTTCAATAAGAAACAATACTCCCACTTGATTCATGATCCTCTCGGTTGCACGCATCCCAAGGTTACAGAACCACTTTTGCCGAGCCGCAAGTCAACCTTGTCAACGAGACCTTGTCCCCGCAACTCCCATCCTGGGACAATCTCATCATATCTCATCATACCAAATTGGAATTTGTACAATCCCAGGACAATCCCTTCGAAAGTTTGTGCAATTTCATCACATCTTCCAAAGCCAAGCCAAACAATCCAAAGCCCAATCAAACGGGATTGTACAAATCCAATCCAATCCAATCCAATCAAAACGTTCTCTCGGCTCACAGTCCGAGGCGTCAGATCGTCCTCCAGGACCCGCCGCTCTCGTTGGACCGAACGAAGACGTACGAGGGGTGCAGAAGGCGCAACCATGGGTACTCACCCGGAACATAACATGTTTCATGCGTACATTGCTACAACCTCATGCGGCGCATGGTGCAATACGCTCAGCAAAAGCAGTAAAGCAAAAATGCACATTTACAGATCAACTTGTAACTTGATCACAACAAAAGTAACAAACATGTCGCAAAACATGTCTTAATCTTCAGAGTCTGAACAGCAATGCAGTCTAAGCGTTGTGGTGACCTGTGGGTGGATCACAGGGGGTCTGAACGTGAGCGAATAGACCTCCCCCAAGAAGGGGTGCTCCAAACAACCAGCACAGTTTGCAGTGGATCTACACAGTCAGCTTTGTTATTTGGCCAGCCTGATCCAACAGATTCTCTTGGCTTCTGCTTTTGTCAATGATTTTGCTTGCGCGGACGACTCACGAGGGCGACTTGACTCAGGAGTCCATTCGCACCCTTACCCCCAAGCCCTTGGCCTGGACCAATGTCTTGGGCACAGGTGCGGCCCGTGGGTAGTTCACAGCGAAGAGGTAGTAGACCTTGTGAGGTAGTAGACCTGGAAGGGGGAAGTGCAAAGCACTAGGTTGCGCGCGCTTGGCGAATTGGTGATGTTGATGTTGCTTCTGGTGAATTGGGACTTTGGTATCAAGACCAGGAGACCAGCCACCATCTTTTCGGGTGTGTCCTAAAAGATGACCGCGATTTTTGAGAAAGGCCTAAGGCCTTACATTTACCATCCTGGACCATCCTCATCCACAGTATACAACACAAACCATTGATTTCTTACTCCGCTCCCTTGACCTCCAGAGGTCCGAGAGTCCGGAGGGTGGAGGGGTGGGCCGGCACCGTCCATTGCTCGACCGACTCCACCGGGGCTCGACCTGTCGACACGGCGGAAGGCGCCTCTTCACCAGTGGAGAGCAGCTGGGCGGAGAAGCAGGGAAGCGGTCTGAAGCGATCACTAAGAATGTCACCCCCCCACCGGCTAGTAGCTACTATGTAGCTATACTATATAGTCAGAGTCATTGCCCTAGTGTTGCACTTATAGGAGTTCTGTGACTCTTACATGTAGCACTGATGTCTCTGGTCTCAGGAGGCAGAGCCTCCACAGCACTCAGGCCCTGTGAGTCTCGACTTCCCAAACCAGTACAACGTCCACCCCCAGCGAAGACGAAGAGAGACCCATGACGGAAGTTCGTGAAGCGTTGCCCCCCGCAAGATCCACGTGCATCGGACGCCTCCGTTTGAGTTGACCCTCAATTGATCCTGATATTTGTTCAAGGCAAGAGATTACTTGGTGTCTCCATGGAAGAGCCAAGTACAAACGCATGGAGTCCATGAGAAGATGCAACAGGTTCAGTATGAAAGGAACATGGTCAAGCCATGTCAAGCCCATGTCCGTTGAAGTCATATGTGACTGTGCAATCCCATCCGTTGCCGGATCTTGTGGGGTCAACATGGCGCCCCGCGAGGCTGGTGGATTTCAGATTGGAACGGTCCAACATCCTCACCCACTGGGAAGGTCCAACTCGATTCAGGAATGACTACCCAGAGGCCCAGAGGCGACCCTGAACCACCAACTGCTACATGTTGGTTCCATTTCACCCTAGTTGTGAGGTCAAAGCCCCAAGCTCTGAGTGCCTTTTGTGACTTCTCTCTATCATCTGTTTGATCCGGTCTGCAGCGGTCGTGTCTTTCGGGCTCTTCACTCTCCCAGGTCGTTCGAGCCTGCGCCCCGGTCGGCGCGGGGATGCCAAGGCGGGGCCCGATGCAGTCGTTCTATTTGCTTGGCAGGTTTGGTGAGGAAACATGTTCCATTCCGCTTCATCCCGGTCGATTTCGATGTTCTGCAAGTGCGAAAGGAAAGCTGCTTAGTGCGGTGAAACGTTCCATCTCCCGGGAACGTTCCGAATCAAACAAGAGCCAAGAGCTGTTCCTTTTGAGGTGTAAGGAGGCCGCTCTCGGGGAGAGGGGCAGAGCCGCGGAGCATAGCTGGGTGGAACGTGTTGAGCAATGAAGGAATGCCTTGGATGTACTTGTTCAATCTGTTTCAGAGACAGTTTCTTGGATGGATGATGGATAGATGGGTCCTGATGGGTAGTCTTTTTGGAGGGATTGAGGTATTGGCCAATATTCTAGTCTCATGCATACGTTAATATGCAGAAAGATGATGAACGCCCACCTAAGAAAGAGGACGACTTGTTTGTTAAGGTCAACCCGTGTATCACTTGGAATGGACTCGTATTTTCTGCAACAACATGGACGCTCCATTGAGGAATCAACAAGACCTGCTACACCATGCCTTTTCCTCTAAATCGGAGCCATGGGCCGATGACACCACGTCGAAATCGATGTCTCCCATGTCACGTCTTTCCTTGTCAGATGGCGGTGATTTGCTGCAGAACCGATTTCAGGAGCTCCAAGGGTGGGTGCGATGGAGTTGGTTTCGTGCGCGGCGCTGCGGCACGCGGTTTTTGTTCGTGTGCCCTGACATGTGTAGAAACGCTGGTGTCTTGACATGATTGACATCATGCAGCTATAAAACATCAGGAACCATTTTGTGTGCCCGGCTTTTTTTGATTCAGAGGGCCAAAACGCACTGAGACATCGCCAGACACACGGTCGACATCCGATGTGCATGGCTTGATTTGGGCACGACAGCGTCAGGTGAGTCGCCAGAGATCGATCGGACATCGGTGCCTCTGAGTACATCCGTTTTTGTTCGTGACCTGTCCAGTGCCAGGATTGAAGAGGTGGGGCCCCACGAGCAAGCATTTTTTGGAGAAGATGTCTCAAACAAAGAGTCACAGCCCCAGCAGGGTCAGTTGGTCACAGCATGTCACAGCCCCAGCTTCATCTACCACCATGAGACCATGTGAGATCAGGAGTCTTAGATACCCTCATGCACCTCTTTTTCTGTCAGCTGGATAGTGATGCTATAGGCTATAGAGTCAACATCTCTCCGTTTATATAACCTGAAGGGCACCAACACGACGGAATCAGGGTTCTAGGATTTCTCCATTACACACATGTTGATCGGTCAAACCTTGGCCCTTCAATTCGAGCTCCGCTTCGCAAGCACCAACGGTTTCTTCAAAGTAGATGGCACTGGCACCCTAAGATATACTGAAAAGATTGGTGTCCATAGTGGTGTCCATATGAAACACTCTGAAACCCCTGTAGTTTGCCTCTCGGCTGAGGCTGTTGCACTTCTTCAAAGGTGAGGATCGCCAGGCTGGGGGCCTCAGCTGCGACCGCTCGTTGAAGCCTTCTCGAGATGGGGACATCCCAACCATATGTTGGCACCTCACCTCCTGCATCTCCTGACTCCCTGAGGAATTGTTTTCAGAGGACTTTGAGGGATCTACCTATTCTAGACCCAAGGCCCGGTCCGCTTTGCTGAAAAAAACACCGTCGAAAAAGCGCCGGGTGTCCGGCGCTGATGTCATCACTTGGGTGTGTATCAAGATAGGGAGACCAACCCCCGGCAAGGACCCCCTTGGAAGGGAAATAGAACAAAAGATGCAAACGCCATTCATTGACTGGGGGCCCCCGCTACGGGGACATTCACTGAACGTCGGAAAAAAAAAAAAAAACACCGCGGGAAAAGCACGCGGGTTCGGGGGTGGTTCACTGAATCGGACACCCCCAAAAGTAAATTTGATTCAGGGTGTCCGTTTTGGATCGGCCATTTTTTGAGGGACCTGTGAAGCTGAGCGCTTCGACTCGTCGCGTGTTGGACTCTCGCTTGAACCGGATCTCGGGGATCTCGGCCGTCTAGTGCTTCAGGTGATTCACCAGGTTCAGAACATGTGGCCATTTGGGGGGCCTGTGGTGCATGTTTTGGGTTATGGGCGTTTCCCATGAACTCGCTGATCCTGGATGTGGGTGTTGATTGACGTAGATGTAGAATCTTCGTTTGCGTCTTGACGTGACCATTATTTGAAGTGTTGAGGACCCTTCATTAATGCGTGGTGCCGCGCGGTCGAGGGTCACGTGAATGGCACGTGAAGGCCAATGGTGACGAGGTAAATTGGTACTGGCAGTAAATTGAAACATTCCGGGGGCCTTGTCCTCCATAGATGGAATGTGGAAGAACCCCCAAATCCCGGGAATGAAATTGATGTGTTGATAAATTGAGTGAGCCACTTGAGTCACGTGAGCATCATATCTTTACACATGTTTCCACTGCACACTCCCCTCGGGCCAAGGCTGTGGCGATGGTCCTCGCAGATGATGGCATTCACCAGTCCGTTTCGGTGAACACAGACTTTTTTCAAGGCGAGCCAATACACAGGTCCTCCTGCGTGGAAGCAGCAAGTGCGAGCTGTGGACGCGAGCGATCCCCACTCGTGGCTTGGTGGGCTTGACCCCAAGCATTTCCACCACTCCAGATGTGTTTGGGCTATGTGGCTGGTTCGAAGAAAAACGAGGGAACCAGGTGAACCATTGCCACGTCACACCACGTCCCACAGCCATCCGTGCCGGTCCACCATCCGCGGTCATCCCCCTCTTTTCGGCGACGGCGTTCGACCTATTCGACCTGAACGGCGACGGCGTGGAAACCCGTCTCCGGGGGTCTTCCCGTGAAATTCGGAGCCTTTTTGAAGTGAAAACACCACAAATCAAAACAATGAACGGGTCATAAGAGGTTCTCAAAAGAGGCAGGAGATGGTAGGAGATGGCATAGAAATCTACTAGGAACAAGAAGCTACAAGGGGTTCCTGGCCATACTAGGAGCGATCGGACGCTACGTTTCGGAGCTCCTGGCATCGCTACTAGGAACAATGTTCGCTGCAGAATGAACACTTTCCAAAACGTCGGGCCATCTCCTTTGACTGGGCCATCTCGACTCCCGCCACAGGACGGCAGATGGTGTGCCGTCTGACCCCTTCCGGGCTCTCGGAGCCCAAGTGGTGCCTCGGCCCGGTGGGACGAACGGAGTCGAAGGCGAGGGAAGGGGGAAAGAAATGGCGGCAGCGCCATGAAGCAGAACACACAGAATCCAGGAATCAACATGACTCTGGTATTCTCTATAGACTCTAGGTGTCATGAAGTGTTTCACACTTCAACCCCTACTCAGTATATCTCAGTATGGAGATTTGCTTGGCGACAAGAAACCTGAATCAGAATCACCTGAAATGCCCATAAAAAGCCGAGCAAAATCCAACAGTTTAATGATATACTCACTGTGTACCGTGGGAGCTATGCATGCATGGTACCATAGATTATGTCCAAGCTGTCACTGTACGAAGCATAAAGGGGCTGTTAGTAGCAAACGACAGCGCTTGGCACTTCCATTTGTGATGAACAAGCGCTACAGGTGTGACAGTGCAATACACCAGGGCAGCTGGGTCAATTTGACAGGTGTGTTTCACACTAAAGAGCGCATCAAGTTCAACGCCTCAACTGTTGCAGTGGTGTTTTGGGGGGTCTCCGGTCTTTGCGGGTCCAGCGGGTCAGGGCGGATGAGCAAGAGGAGCCATGCTGGTGAGTTTGGACAGGATGGGGGAAACCTCCCCACGGACCTACCGCTACTCAAAAGTACGGACTGGAGGTGCATACTACCAGCCAGCTCTTTCGTTCTTTTCACAAGCATTGGCGGGTGAAGCCCCTCCAAGCGGTTTTCACAGCAATATGTTGGAAGCCCACTCTCGGTTGGTAGCCGAGAACTGCCAATCACCCACTTTGTTGGATGCAGTGGTGGGGCTTGAGCTGGTTTTGCCTCAAAGAAATCATTTTGGATTCAGTGAAATCAGCTGATGGCAGCTCTTTGGGATTACTGTAGTTTTCTGCAACTACACTTCACTATACTAAATGGTGGGAGGATCTTAGTGGAAGTCGGTTTGTACAACTTACCCTCTCAAAGTCTCAAAGACCTTCATTCCGAGGTTGGCGATTTTTTGCAAAGCAAAGCATGCAATACCTGTGGATGCGGAGAAGTGCCTTGGCAAAAGCTTCACCGTCCTCGTCAGGAGAAGTGAAAGCACTCTTCATACCCTCAAGGACCTCAAGGAGATTTCCCATGCGAAACTCACATTTGGGCAAAGGAAACCTCAATGTGTGGACCAGGTGGTGGCAACAAAGTTGGATGAGCTGGCGATTGCTACTTCTTCATTCATGGACCATTTTGAGCGTCAGCGAGTACTATCCATGTATTACCCATGAAACCGCTTTTCACCACTGAAAGTGCTTTCATGGCTTGGACATCGCCATCCAGATTCAAAGCCTGGTTTTTCAGCTTTGGTTCCTGTGGGTCGTCTTAGTAGTGGGCCTAGTGGGAGGGGGTGGTGATGGGTAGGGGTAGTGAGGGATGGTTCTTCACATTTTATAAGCTTTCACGTGAGTTGTGGTCCACCGAATCACGTTTTGAGAGCTGTGGTCTACTTCGTCTCGACGAGTTAATCTGTAGTCCACTAGGAGTACTCCAAATTGTTCGGCTCACAGGAACTGAACTAGGGTCTCCAGAGTCAAGAGATTGCGAAGAGGTGAGTGCGAACTTGTGCGAGGTTGGATGTGTTCGTGCAAGTTGGATCAACCCAGGACCTGGTGACTTTGGTGGACCTGGTTTAGCCTGGTTTTCTGCGATCTCTTCGCTGCACTGCCCAGGTCGAAGGCAAAGCTCGTCGATGGCTACACCCAGACGCAGGAAGATCAGAAGGCGCTGACCACATGCGGCGCAGTCGAAATACCACACGAGAAAATTAGAACCGTGTGACGGAAGTTGTGACGGACACGAGCGACCACTGCAATTGCACTGAACCTTCTGGACCTTGCATTTCAGGAAGTGGAACATTCGATCTTCTGTCCGACCAAGCAGATGACGTCGAATCCTTGAATCCACGTCCATCGTCCATCGTTGTTCGCACCAACAGAAGATCCGTTTTCGGCTCCAAGGTCCTATTTTTTGTTGAGTGTGTACTAAAGGAAGTATGTGGTGTCCGGTCATCACTAGAGACGATGTCCGCTTCATCTTGGGGAGTGAAGAGGGCTCTGAGCCTCGCATTCTTCGCGCTTCGCATTCATCGCGCTGTCGCAGGCACCTGTCCGGCTGCCCCGGACATCCACTTGGACCTCCTCCCGCACTATCCAGGCACGTGGCCGTTGTCCAGCCGTGGGAGGTTCTGGTCAAACCAAGCGCTTGAAGCACATGATTAATGTAGACTCTTGATGAATAATGCCCCCCATTTGAAGATGAAATCCTCTTCATATTGGGGGTTTATTAATCACGAGTCTGCATTAAGAACCCTTTCTTTTCTAAGTGGCTAGAGCTCAAAGTTGAACCTTGTTTCCTTGTGGGCTGGGCAACATCGGTTCAAGCGACCCCTAAAGGAATGTGGGCATTCACTGTGACGGTTCAAGGGTTCGAAACCTGTTCATATCTGTTCGTGTGCTTTGCTCTGAACATGTTGACTCGGCTGGGGAGCCGTAAAGTGGTTTCAGAATGTTTCAGAGTAGATGGCACAACCCCGAAGTTTGGTTATTTAGATGGACCCCCATATAAAAGACATTTTTAGGTTTGTGCAATCTATTCTGAAAACACTAGTGAAAACACTATATAGATCTGGGCTCGGCCAGCGCTCAATGCCTTTGAATATGTGGGTGGCTTCAATGGATATATATATATATATATCATGCTATGTCTACGTGCGCCACTTTCCGTATGAGCATGTGTAAACATCCGTGAACGTCAGGGGCATATTCAGATATATACATATATAAGACTCTGTGAAAAAGTAAGCAAGGCAGGAATGGCAACACCTTGATTAAAGGCGGTCTATGAGCCTATGAGTCTATGATTTGTTTCATTTTGTGTCCATTGTTTTTTGTGGTTGTTTGTTTCACTTTTGAATATGTGTTTATTCTGAAAAATGCCGTTTGGCTTTGTGTTGACGGTTTTTTTGGCTGTTGTTTCGTTCACTCCTTTGGTCTGTCAGTCGGTGTGTATCTTTCTTTATTTTGTTCTACGTTTGTTTGTGCGTTTCTATGTTTGTTTATTTGTTCTGTTTGGTTTTCTGGTTGTTTGTGGTGGTTGTGGTTGCGGTGGTTGTGGTTGTGGTTGTTGTGGTTGTTGTTGTTGTCGTCGTCCTCATGATTGCTGGCTGTTGGTATGGTTGTTATTTGCTGTTTCTTGCTATGTGTGTTTTTCTTGTGGTAGTGGTTCTGGTGTTGTTGGTGGTGTTGGTCTGGGTGCTGTTGATTTTTCTTGCTGCTTGCTGGGATTAGTTTGCAGTTAGCACACTGCACGGTGGGACCGCAGCACGCAACCAGCATAGACCCAAATGTGCTTCAATAGCAGCTTCCACGGACTACGGGGAGATCGATCAAGCCTCAAATATTGGGCAACGCTTTCCTGGAAAACAAATCTTGACGTTCTGTCCGAAAGTAATGACGAACCTACTACACTTTTGTCAATATTTTGGTAGCAGCGCTACTAGTAGCTAGAAGCTACGAACGTAGCGATGCACTTGTTACGAACGGTCTTTGGTCAATTTGTCTCATTGGTCTTTGGTCAATGCGATGGCAGACCGGCATCGCAAAACATGCTCTCCGGACTCCCTGGAACACGCGCCAGCGTCCTAAACCGTTCACACTTCCGTTCATCGTTCTAAACCAGGGTCACCGGCGGATTCTCGGGTACGTACTTACGTTAAACTGAGACTGGGGGCAGCTAAGAACAGTCCTTGAGCTTTCTCCGCTGTCCTGGGGGTCTTAGGACTTCGCACCAAGAATTTGAGCGCCAGGTGACCGGGATCGAGAAGGGCGGGGCCTCCTGTCCAACCACCTACTATGCTGGCGGTCGTCCATGAGCCCAGTCGAGACAAGGGACGAGCGTGCGGGACGAGGTTCCCGTTCGTGCGGTGTCTGAACAGCGGGCTCCGTTCGTAGCGTCCTTGCTCCTAGTAGTATGGCCAGGAGCCCCTAGTAGCGT